GGCTGGGACTCTGTACAACTTCAATGTCTGGGCTGAGAGGAACGACGTCAACAGTTCAACTGAGACGGTTGCTGCATCTACAGGTGAGACATCCTCCGGTCTTGTATGAAGCACGTCTGGGGCGGGTGAAGCCAGGTCATAGCAGACTTGTCATTGTCCCTGAGAAGCAGACAAAGGGCAAGCACCCCAGCGCCACTGAGGCTCAGTGGATTAGGTCCGTTTGGCAGGATGGCTTCTCTTTATGAATCAGGATGCTCAGAGAAAGTGTGTCCCCATGGATGTGAGATGCTCGGGGATGTGGAAACCATGATTCTCTGCTCCTTCTGCCAGTTCCTAACCCAGTGAGAAGCCTCAACGAGCAACATCGGACCAACAGCTCCATTACCTTGACCTGGACAGCACCCCTGGGACCAGTCCAACCAGCCTACACCTACTGGGTGCAGTGGATGCCCGAGGACAACATGGCAGGGATTAAGAACACCTCAGATACCAGTATCACCCTGGAAGGCCTGCAAGCTGGGACTCTGTATAACTTCAATGTCTGGGCTGGGAGAAACGATGTCAACAGTACAACTGAGACGGTTGCCAAATCTACAGGTGAGACATCCTTCGGTCTTTTACAAAGTAGGTCTGGGATGTGTAAAGAAAAGTCATTGCACCCTTAGGAATTGTCCCTGGAGTCCAGATACATCCAGGAATTCCACCACCCTGGAACCTCCGTGTTTTAGATCTCATTGTTATGAGCATAGGATGTCTGTCCATGTTAGAATTCTATTAGGAGGCTCTCCTTGATGCCGGCTGATTGGGGACATGGGAATCCTGATTTTCTGCTTCTTGCACTAGTTCCCAACTCAATAGCAAGCATCACAATGCAGGATCGGACCAACAGCTCCATTACCCTGAACTGGACAGCACCCCTGGGACCAGTCCAACCAGCCTACACCTACTGGATCCAATGCTTGAGCCAGAACGGCATATCAAGTACACAACACACCCCAGACACCAGATTCACAGTCGAGGCATTGCATGCCGGGACTGAGTACGTCTTCACACTGTGGGCTGAGAGGAACGGAGTTCACAGTGAAAACAGGACTCTCGTTGAAGCCACTGGTGAGACACTGTCCATGACAGACCCTGTACTGTTGTGATGGGGGAAGGAATACCATGGGAGAGCTTGGGGGTCTCTTGGGAAATGTACAGTGCTCTCCACCTGGGGGACCTTACCTGACCTCACTGGGGCTCAGAGTAGTGAGCAAGTTTCTCAGCAGTCTTTGTTAGCAACCAGCACTTTCTATTCTCTCCTTGGAAAACGGGACCTTTGGGTCAAGAACATCCCTAAGTGCCCATTGTTACCTCTCGGGACTCGGCATATCACTAGCTGGGTAATAGTCAACCACGTGTCATGCTGGGCTCAATGAATCCACAGGACCCAACCTGGCTGTCCATACATGGGAGGACCATGTTGACCATATCCGTATAGAGGGATGGAAGCTGCGTGGTTTCACCTTTGGCCAGGTGGGCTCCGAAGAATAAATTCCATCGGGAAACTTGATGGTTCATAAAACCAGCCAGTCTATCTTGAATCTCGATGTGTCTAACACGGAAAAAGTCCCAACCCTGACTGCCCACAGGAAAGATAATGTGGAGAAGGGTGACGGAGGAGACCCCGGGATGGAGCTGGGGAAGGAGCAGGAGGAGGAGGCGTTCCTGGTCCTTAGGTTTCTGGACTCTTGTGCTGTGCTCCAACCTGGCCCTCAGAAACGAGAGCCGGGGGTTAACAGAGGAAGCTCAGGCTTTGCCAGAGGAGGGAGGAGGGCAGGCTGAGGTGTGAAGATCATCGAGGAGATCTCTCCCTTCAACTCTCTATCCTCACTTCTCAGCGCCCAATGAGGTCACCGACCTGCACAACACAACTCAGACCAGTGGCTCGGTCAGGCTGAGCTGGAAGGCCCCCACAGACATGTCCTCTCAGAGCTACACGTACTGGATCCGGTGGGCTGTTGGCAAACAGCTGCAGAGGGAGAATGAGCCCCAAGGACAGACAAGCAATCAGACAGGCAAGACCAATGACACTTGGTACCTTGTGACGGCCCTTGCACCTGGGACTCGGTACCACTTCAGTGTGTGGGCCGAGATGAACAACGTTGCCAGCGCCATACAGAGCCTGCAGGCATCCACAGGTGAGCTGCACCTTAAATCACCCGGGCTTATTGAAGTCATGCCTGGAGAGACAAAGAAAAGGGAGTGGACTACAAACCCCATCAGGCCATGGGGTAATGACCTCACGTGTTGCCATGACACAGGGATCCAAGGCCTCATGGGAGTTGTAGTTTGAAAGGCCTTTGCCCAGCAGTAGAAAACAAAGGGTTGTGGTTTGGGGGAGGGGAGACCTGGGAGGGTCGTGGTCAGAGACTTGGCAGGACAGGAGGGTGGGAGGTCCCGTGAGATGACTCCCCACTGGCTCTGTTTACTTCCTTCACCCAGCTCCTGACCCTGTCACCATCACATCCTGTGTGAGCACCTCCGGTGGTTATGGGCTCTCCCTGACCTGGCCCTGCCCCAAGGGAGGGTACGAGGTCTTCCACTTGGCGGTGGACGGGCAGGCCTTCCAGGAGAGTCGTTCCTGTGGGAGTCCAGTGTCCTTGTCGGGTCTCCAGCCAGCTCGGTCCTACCTGGCCACCATCACAGCCGTGTGGGATGGAATGAGGGCTCCGTCGACCTCTGTGACCTGCTACACGGAGAGCGCAGGTGAGCCCGCCCCCAGGACCTAAGAGTGGGAGGGAGGCCCCAGTAACACTTCTTATCTTCTTTTCCTTGTTTCCTTTTAAAAACAGCTGTGTTCATCCATGGTCCGAATACCACACAATCCATCCATTTAGAGTGCTTCCCAGTGCATGCACGGGGTGCTAAAACCATCGCATCCATGTTCTCGCCCCACCAAAAACAATAACCCGGCCTCACTGAGCTATCTATCACCTCCTAATTTTTTTTAATTCTAATTTTTTCACCTCCTAATTTCCTCAATCTCTCCCAACCCTAAGGCTGGTACCTGGAGACAATTCATGCTGGTGCAAGCCTTCTGCCAGTCAGGATAGCACGAGGCGACCGCTAATCTGCTCTCTGTCTCAGGTTTTACCTATCCTGGACATTTCCTACCAATGCAGTCACACTGATTGTATTCACGATCTCATGCAACTTTCATCATCCTCGACTTCCCAAACCCTCTCATCACCCCAAACAAAAACTCTAAACCCATTAAGTAATAATGCTCCACTCTCTGTGCTTCATGCAATTTTGGTTGTGTTTGATAGTCTGTTTATGCCAAACATTAATAAGGAGGGCAAGGGACTGCGCTGTGTTTTTCTGTTGGAGATAGGTTCCCTGAGTAGAAGCTGACTTGATGGCACGGACCAAGTTTGTCCTACTTTTCCTTGATGGTCCTGTATCAGCTTAGATTTGGGTCTTTGATCCATCTTGCGTCTCTGTACATTGTGTGAGAGCTGGATCATGTTTTGTTTTTCTGCCAATGGATATCCACTCTCACCAGCACCATTTGTTAGAGACTGTCTCGTCCCCTCTTAATGGACTTTGACTCTTTATCAAAGAACAGCTGTCCAAAGGTGGGCAGACTGACTTCTGGGTTCTCAGTTCTGCTCCATGGCTCCCCATCTCTGTCACTGTACACCACCAGGCTGATTTGACTGCCATGACTATACAGTAGACACTGAGATCCCACAGTGTGTGGAGTCCACGGGTTCTCTTGCTCCAGAAATATTGCATTTGTTGTTCATTAATATTTCCATCTCGTTAAAGAGAACCTGGCATGAGTTCCACTTGGTTACGATGGATTCGGTTTTGATATGCTGCTGAATTCTATTGGCTAGAATTGTATTAACAATGTTCGCATCTGTGTTTCTGAGACACTAGTGTATCATTTTCTTTTGTGTGCCATCTCTTTGCCTGGCTTGGGTATTCGATTCTTCTGATTCTGTAGCATGACTCGAGAGTCATCCTCTCTTTCCTTTCTTTGCTTTGTTCTGAAGTATTTTGTTTGTTTGTTGTTAACCTCTTCAATATCTTCTTCTTTTTTGTGTGTGTGTGAATGAGAGTGAGTAAGAGAGTGAGTGAGTGAATGAGTCAGGGAGTCAGGGAGTGAGAGTGAGTGAGTGAGAGTGAGTGAGAGTGAGTGAGTAAGAGTGAGTGAGTGAGAGTGAGTGTGAGTGAGAGAGTGAGAGTGAGTGAGTGAGAGTGAGTGAGAGAGTGAGTGAGTGAGAGAGTGAGTGAGAGAGTGAGTGAGAGTGAGTGAGAGAGTGAATGAGAGTGAGTGAGAGAGTGAGTGAGAGAGTGCTCAATATCTTCTTTTATTGTAACTCTTCACTCTTCCAAGATTGTAACTCTTCTCTGGCCTCATTAGGCATGTTTAGTCTTTCTAGCTCAGCTTCTGTTAGTGTAGGTATGCGATGCATTCCTTGAAGTTTTCAAATTTGTTCAAGGACAGTTTTTTTAATAGGATTCTCTTAGGATTCTTTTAATTTCAGTTGCTCCTGTAATGTCACCCATTTCATTTATTTTTCTTTTTTCCCATCTCATTCTTATTTGGATTGATTCTTCTACCTCTCTTTCCTTTTTTTTCTGCCCACGTTTATTATCTCCCCTCTTCTGGTGACTGTGGGCGCCTTTTACTGCTTTCTTTAGTTTGTTTGTTTTTATCATTTCATTGAGGGCTCATACAACTCTTATCACAATCCACACATACACCAATTGTGTAAAGCACATTTGTGCATTCGTTACCCTCATCGTTCTCAGAACATTTGCTCTCCACCTAAGCCTCTGGCATCAGCTCCTCATTTTCCCCCTCCCTCCCCGCTCCCTCTCCCTCATAAACCGTCGATAAATTTTAAGTTATTATTTTGCCATATCTTATACTGTCCGATGTCTCCCCTCACCCACTCTTCTGTTGTCTGTCCCTCAGGGAGGAGGTTATATGTAGATCCTTGTAACTGGTTCCCTCTTCCCCCCACCCCGCCTTCCTGGTATTGGCACTCTTGGCACTGGTCCTGAAAGAACCATTTGTCCTGGATTCCCTGTGTTGCCAGTTCCTATCTGTACCAGTGCACATCCTCTGGTCTAACCAGACCTGCAAGGTAGAATTGGGATCATAATAGTGGGGGTTGTGGGGGGAGGGAGGAAGCATTTAGGAACTAGAGGAACATTGTATGTTTCATCATTACTACACTGCATCCTGTCTGGCTCGTCTCCTCCCTGTGACCCTTCTGTAAAGAGATGTCCAGTTGCCTACAGACGGGCTTTGGGTCCCCAATCTGCACTCCCCTCATTCATTATGGTTTGATTTTTGTTCTTTGATGCCTGATACCTGATCCCTTCGAAACCTCCTGATCGCACAGGCTGGTGTGCTTCTTCCATGTGGGCTTTGTTGCTTCTGAGCTAGATGGCCGCTTGTTTACCTTCAAGCCTTTAAGACCCCAGATGTTAATCTTTTGATAGCCTGGGCACCGTCAGCTTTCTTCACCACATTTGCTTATGCACATGCTTTGATTTGGGCTCTTCCTTTTGTGTGTGTGTATTGATTGCATTGCTGTCCCAATCATTTTGTACATTACATTGTTATTCTTTTTATATTCTAGGATTTTAAAAGATCTATCTTCCATTTATTTTATTAGCCGGTGGTTTTTAAGCAAGATGCTATTCAGTGTCCGTATTTTTGGGTTTCCCCCTTGCTCTTCCTCCTATTGAATTCTAGTTTTATAGTGTTGTCATCAGAGAACATGCCTTCAACTATTTTGCGGTCTTGACTCTTTTCAATTATTTCCTTTTGGAAGAAAACGTTTTATTGTGCAGCTTTATAGAGCGGATCATCAGTTTTACGTTCAGCACAGTCAGTTTCACCTCATTCACTGCGGTCCTCTTCATGTGCCATCATCACTCATTCCACTTCTTCCTTGTGTGTGTTCCCATCTCTCTCTCGCTCTCTCTCTCTCTCTCTCTCTTCTCTTTAACAGTTTTATTGGCACACAATGGTTGTGAATCGTGTGGCCTTAAATCTGGTCTTTTTAGAGAATGACCCTGTGCTTTGGGAAGACTGGGATATTCTCTATCTTTCTGTGGGGTGTGCTGGTGTTGCATCAAGAGCTCTTCTGTTTGGAAGGACATTGGGCCTCCACTCAAGTACTCCCTCAACACAAGAATACTTTCTTCTAGTAAATTGGCATTCTATGATGCTCACCTTCCCGACACA